TATATATAAATAGAATAGAATAGAATAGAAAACTTTATTAAAATTCAATAGTTACAATTTAAGTCATTTACAATACATAATTATTCTAAAAATTCATTTATAAAATAATAGGGATTATTTAGTAAATAATTTTAACATATTTTTAAAGGTGAATCTTGTTTTGCATCTCCATCCATCAGGTAGCTTATTATAGATCTTGGCTCCCAATGTAGTTCTTAGCGATGATTTTAGTTTGATTTTGGACATATCACTGCATTTTTATTCCGCGTATTGTGGTCGTGGACATCACTTCTCAATAAATGATTAGTTTTATCCGCATGCACCGCAATAGCTTGTTGCCAAATATAAATGTTTGTGACAGTCAAAATTTTGTGTTTTATGAATAGCGGCCTGCAAGGCTCCCGAGGTGAGACTCCTTCTATTGCTCTAACCGCCTTCTTTTGTAGATCCATAACTTTAGAAGTGTGTGCACTATGTCCCCAAGCTAATATTCCGTATGAAAGTACAGAATGAACATAGCAAAGTAGGTTTCCCTGGCACATTCCTGGTTTATTATGGATCTAATTCTTCTAATGGCATAAATGGCTTTCGAGAGCCTTGCGCATAGCAAACTCTATATGTTTGGCCCAGGTCAGCAAACTATCCATTGTAGTCCCAAGTATTTGACTTCACCGCCTTGAAGTTCAACAGTCTTCTACTAGCTGTAAAATTAATAGAAACAGTTTTGTTTTATTCAGAACAATTTTATTGGCGAGGAACCACTCTTCAGCTTGTTTATAAGCATTTTGTCTCTTTTCATTCATAACTTTTATGTCTGCTTGCAACTGCCAGTGCCGTATCGTCTGCGAACTGAGTCGAATGGCAATTCAAGTTGGAGGGCAGGTCATTCACAAATATTAGGAATAGTAGCGGACCTAAAATACTGCCTTGGACAATTCCAATATCTGGTACTACTTCTGCATTACTGAGCTTATATTGCCAGTCGACGAATGTTGACGATTCGTGAAGTAGGATTGCATCAGCGTTAACGGAACACCTCTCAGTCCATAATATTCAAGTTTTTTTAGAAGTATTTTGTGTGGTACGCAATCGAATGCCTTACTAAGGTCACAGAACAGCGCACCGCAATGTTCATGATTCTCTAAAGAATCTTGTATGAAATTTAGAAAATTTACTATGGCGTCGATCGTATTCAACCCCTTTCTAAACCCAAATTGACTGTTGTTTGAATAGTATTGGCTTCAAAGAAATTTAGTATTCTTGAGGCCAACAACATTTCAATCAGTTTAGAAAATACAGGCAGTATGGCGATTGGCCGATAATTGGATGCATCTTGGCGGTCTCCGGATTTATACACTGGAATGATTCTCGCCAGTTTCATTTTATCTGGAAAACTGTCCTGTAGCGAATACACTGTTCACGATTGCACAGAGCGGTGAAGACTATATACTCGGCTACTGGTTTAATCATTTTAGCGTTTAGTCCAAAAGCGTCAAGTGATGTCTTGTTTTTCATCTGTTTAATCGCTGTAACAATTTCTTCTGGAGATGTTGGTCTCAGGAACATACTTCGCCCACTGACATATACCTTAGCTAAATAAGCTTCGGGTCTAGTCTTTGCGTCGAGCAAGTCCTTGGTAGATTGACAGCTACATTCCTGAAAAAATGATTAAATTCGTTTGCTGATGGCGTACAATTCCGATATTATTTGAATATTTTTGACCTGTTTCTTGTTTTATTATATTCCATATAGTTTGTTGTTTATTATCTGATTTAACTATATTCATTACATTACTTTGTTGACGTTCCATTTCCATCTTATGGTTATATAATCTTTTATAATGTTCAAAGTATTGTTTCAGATCAATTCGCTGTGACTGTTTAAAAGCATCATATAGAAAAATCCACAAGTTCTTTGAGATTTCGTAGATTTTCTGACTGCGCCGAAATTTTGTTTTGTTTATCAATATGCGTTTGTAAGGAAACGCGTTGTTTGCTATTTGTTTAAAAATATTCAGAAAAATATTGAATTGTTTGTTGCTATCTTCAGTCTGGTCCAGGCAATTCCAATTAACTAGAGATAGTTGTTTTTTGAAGTGTTCCATGTTTTTTCATTTATTTTTCTTATTATGCGGATGTTCGCGTTGGTAGAAGAAGTTTTGAGATTCATAATCAATGCTTCATGGTCGGAGATCGAACATGATAAAGTATCAATTATGAATTGGTCTGATTGTAAGTTTGTGAATGCATTATCGATGCAAGTTTTAGAGTTCACGTTGATGTGTGTTGGTTTCATTAACCTATGTTCCAGTCCAAAAGTGGAAGCAGAGTTAATTAGCGCAATTTTATCATTCGAATCTACTAAGAAATCCACATTGAAATCACCGCATATGATGACTTTAGTTTTCGATTCGAATGTGTTAAATATGCGCGTTAGTATTTCTTCAAGTTTTAATAAAAACATATTTAAAGTCGAATTTGGCGACCTGTAAATAACAATAATAATGTTTTTATTGTTTTAAATAACACGCCGCTACTTCGCATGCAAGCTCAGCAGATTGCACTGCAATGTCATTTAATTCGGCGCAGTCAAGGTGATTTCGGCAAAATATTGCAACTCCGCAATGTATGTGTTCACTACGGGCAAAACTGCTGATCAGCCGAAAGTCACGAATATTAAATAAATTGTTTGTTTGTCATTAACCAGTGTTCTGTCGAACAAAGTAGGTCAATATTATTTACGTTGACTACATTTGACAAAGCAGCTGATTTATTTGATAAGCATTGAATGTTCAGACAGAGTATATTTAATATATTTACTTGTCGTTGCTTGGTTGCTTTTGGAGCCTGAATAAAAAACGATCCACGCATACTCCTTGAGGCCATATTTCCGGCGATTTAAATTTTTTTCTAATTCTGATTCCAAAACTGATACCTTGAATGATGAATATACGTTTGGATGTTTGGATGCACTTTTTTTGCACGTTACGTTTTTCGAAATTTTTGTCCCGCAGGTAATTTTTCCAATTGCTCTTCCGTTGTTTCTGCGCCAGTCGAAACACATGTAGATGCGCTGCTTCACCACACCTTTATCACGGCATTTGCATTTGTGCCTTCGATAGTTGTGGCCTTTCGCTTGGCGCTTTCTTTTTTTGGACCAAAGTCCAATTTTGTTCTTCTGTTACGCTCTTATTGTTAGTAATGGCGTTGGAAGGCAAAGCGGTAGACGCCACGGCATCACGGAACGTTTCAATTTTCCGCTCTTCCAGTTTTCTTCAGCGCCGTTGCTACTGGCGAACACTGACTTGTTCACTTGAGATTTTTCTGGGATCTTTTTCCTTGTTAACATTCGATTTCTTTCCATTCTTTTTTTTTGATTTCTTATTGACTGCTTTCTCAGTATCGATATCAATACTGGGTGCAGCTGAAGAAACCTGCTCCTTCTTTGATTCGGATTTACCCATTGCAGCAGCTTGATTTTATCCTCAAGCTGCTCAATTATGTACTCCTTATCCTTTATTATGGTAATTTTGTCTTCTATTATGGTGTTTTTGTCGGCAATTGTTTTTTCAAGCCTAGAAATTGTTTCCATATGGTCACTGTACACTTCAGAAAATAGAAATTTGAAGTTTTTCCTATTAGAACAACTAATGTGGTACATTTTTCCGCAGTTTTTACAAATGCCTACATTTGGGGCCTTTGTTTCACAGCAATTATAGGAACTTTTCACTTCCGATTCTGGCACTAATGGTGTCGATTGCGACATCATTGCGGCAAGTTAAAACGGCACGTCTGTAGGTTACGGCGGTCAACGAAAGACTATATATATATATATATATATATATATATATTATTTCTTTATTTCAGCCTAATGGCCTAGAAATACATCATTATCTTAAGTCACAATAATACCTTAAACCTACTTTATATACAAAAAATAAATTGAAAAGTCTAATCAGGGGGATCTAATAACTTTAACGTTCTGGACTGGTTGCCCAGTAACTCTTTTTTCTTTGCTTTCTTCATGTGGTTGATTGTTTTCAACCAGCCAAGACTTTCCTTATCATTTTTGCCACAGTGAACGTCTTCTATAACGTTCTTGAACGTTCTTCAGGGTTCAGCCAGTGTTTGTTGTTTTTCTCCATGGTGCCACATCTATACCGCGCAATTACCTTCTGATCGCAGCCATTGCTCCAGCCTCTTAGATACTGAGGAAGTGCACTTGTCATTATTTCTCTATACTTTCTATTGTATCTGGATCTTTCCAGTTTCTTCCAGTGCTCTGGACTTTGTACCTCGCTTCCTCTCTCCCGCAGTACCTCTCCAACATTCGCTCCGGTTTCACTCATTGTCAGCTGAACTATGCCCTCCTGTCCAAATCCACATTTGTTTATATATCTTATCCTTTCATCCAACCTCTCTTTATCCCCTTTACCTCTTCTTTTTTTGCTAATACACTCCTTTACTATGGCATTTACTCCTGTCTTTAACTGTTTCTCTTCATAATTAATCGCTCTCTTAGCTAATCTCAGATGTAATTTGTCTCGTTTTACTTCCTCATAGAGTACATAATCTGGAGTACAGGACTCCAGACCTAGTATCCATTTCAGGTATTTTTTCTGTACTCTTATATCGTATATATATATATATATATATATATATATATATATATATATATATTATATTTGTTACTTATATAATTTTCCTATCTGTTAGTAAGTCAATAGTTTCTACTTCACTATGATGAAAGTAAATCGTTTAATATTCATACAGGATAATTTCGTGCCAGATAAAATACCAAGACCGATGTCACAAAAAAACTCGATAACAAAAAAATTAATAAACTTCAAGCAAACATCTATTTTTCCTGCAAAAGCATTGACTGATCTTAACATGCATCGAGATGATTCTATGATATTAAATCATCCAAGTGAAGGATTTGATAATCATATATCTGGAACAAGCAGTTTCATAGAATCCGAGCAAGCCTCAAATCTTATTACTGCTGCTGGAAATAAATATAATGCTTTAAAGAATTGCCTTAATTCAATTAAGGATACACTAACCAAAGGTAAGTCAATAAATATTATCATTCGAATATAGGAAAATAAACTGAAAATAAAATTATGAATTTCATCATTGATAGATCTTACGCCGATTCAAACTACGAAACTGTCAAAGTATTTTGGGAGTTTTTTTAGTAAGAGTAAAATACACAGAAAAACTTTTAAAATCTTGATTAAAAATTTATGCATTATATTTATAGGGTCTGCCAAATAGCCTTTTTTTAATGGTATAGCAGAAACTACTGATTTATTCTCAAATTTCTTTCTTTTTATTTGAAAGTACAATTTTCTCGGGTACTAGTAGTTCCATTATAATGGGAAATAATTTTATTGAAATGTCTGTCTAAATTATAAATGGCTACAAAAAATCTAAACGGACTCCAAAAAAAGAATATGGGCATGAATTTAGATTTAGTGGATATATTACCACGAAAATATGATACCAATAATTGAAATTAGACAGTAAGTCAATGCAAAACACTTAAAACGTTCAAATAGATAACTATGAAATGTAATTAAAACACAGGTCATTATATATGATATATTTTTGTTTATACTTACAAGTTTTTAATTTGTTTATGTTGGGCTTTTAGGTGGTGAATCGCTGTCTCCTCAACTGCTAAATTTATCGTCCTTTTCTAGTACGTTAGGTTTAACTGATGATATGCCACATGAGACATTGCAATATGCTCGCAGAGCTCATCTTTCATCTTTGAACTCAAATTATGCGCAAAATCTATTAGCAACAGGCGAGGTAAAATACGACAACTTATAATATAATATAAATATGCTCGTATTATCTTTTTTATCAGCCTCAACAACAAATATTTGGGAGTTCTTCAAAGGAGTTAGCTGAAATTCAGAAGCAGCTGGATGAAAGTCGCGACGAAATCAAATCACTCGTTTCTTCAAAACGCGATACTCTTGATGTTTTTAAACAACTACGTGAAAAGTATGATGCACTGAGAATGGTATGTTTTTTGTCAAATAATTGTAAGGGTTGATTTCATTGTATGTTTTCTTTGAATTTTAGTCCAGAAAAACAGCTTTAGAACAGCTTGCTATTCTTAAGCATCAAAACTCTGAACTACATGAAAGATTCGAGAATGAAAAAAAACTGCGTGAGAAAGAATATAAGGTACATATTTAGTAAATTTCTATAAACAGGTAAAAATCTGGAATTAAAAAATTCGGATTAAGTTGTTTTATAATGAATACGTTTTTTCATTTAAAAATGAAAGATATGAACAAATATTGCATTAACCATTCGTCGGTAGGAGTGGTCTGGCCAGACTTTTTTTGATTTCAATTAAAAAAAAAAATTAGTAATCCTATCGACTTGAAATTTCTGGACTTTTCCTGAAATTTCATTAGCTGTCGATCAATGAAAAAATCAGGACGAAAAAATGTGTGGCCCAGCCACACTACTCCGACGGTTTGCAGGTAAATAAATATATGACCGACGGAGGGTTAAATTAAACTACATAAAATAAAACAATAATTGGCAATCCATATATTCTAAATTAAGGGGCCAATTCTCCGGTAAAATAGACCACAACATGGCGTTGTTAAGGCAACGCTACTTAAGTAAATTATTATGTAAATGTCACCTATTACATTCGACACTTAAAAGATCTACACTAAAGCGTTGTATTAGAATAACTTTTTATCATATTAGCTTAACTGTGTCATCTCTCCAAATTGAATTGGCGTCAGTATAAAAACGCAGTACAATCTTCTATAGATGATAATTAAGACAATAAGGTAATTATTTTCTGAATTATCTAATAGGGGAGATACGGACTAAATGTAATAGACAAAATTATTTTGGGCATTATTGTCACAGTATTGTCGCAGTAACCAGTTCAAACGTGTATCGCGCCTTCAAAAGGTTATTTTGAGAGTGGTTTTCTGATGTTTTATGGGGATTTATTTATCGTTATTGCTCTATTAAAGTGAATGAGTTATTGCCAGTGTTAGTGGTATCAATCAATTTTATTGCAATTATTATTTTTGTTCATTTTCGGACAAACTGACATACTAATACAATGGACAAAGTAACAAACTACTATTTCTTGAGCATTCATAAGAGGCTATGAAAAAAGTATATTCAAATCAGCCAAAAGTGACTAATTTTTGATTTCAACTCTAACTTGTTCTAAAAACAGACCAAAATATACACGTACATGAATACTTTCATTTATTGTTGTTAAATGTATAAGGATGTTTCTCGTTCGCTTACTCAAATTGTTATGGTATAATTAAACCTTTGTAAATGTAAACTTTTTAAAACGCTGTATCAACTGATATCTATAGTTTACGAATTTATTGCAATGTTCTTATTATAATAACTGTCTAGTCACTAAGTTTTACCTAATTGAAGATTTTATATATTTATTACTTATGTACTATTTATGTTACTACACGGACTGCAGTTTTGAAAGTAAAAGTTTTCGCTACCCCCTCTACAGGGTAGCAACTTTACGGTACAAAAGCTCAACGCCATGAAGATCGCTGTTTTTATGATTAATAAAACAATATGAAAATACGTCCGAACAATACATATTTTTTCGTATTGCGTCTGGCGAAGGTTGGTTAAGTTGTATGACATGTATCATGTGCAGATGTCCCAAATGGGACCAAATGACTAATCTTCCCAGTATGTATTTCTTATATAACATTTTGTCCGTGCTATATGAACAAAATTGATTTCGTAATTAGTTAAAATTTTCATTAATGAAATGTGTTAGTATAGTTTCTACTTAATTAAATGACTTTTACTGGTAGTCAATGAATCAAAGACGATTGAGACTGGTTATAATATCATTGAATAATTAAATATCCTTAAATAGTAAAACACCATGTCGTTTTATCAGTACTTCCCCTACTATTAAACTGTAGTTTAAGCTGTTTTTTTAAGTAACCATGGTAATATGATAAATTCCACAAAATGGAGGATTTAATATAATAAACGGTTATATAGATGAAAATATATACATTTTAAATTTTTATTTTATTTTATAATGCATAAAAATTTGGGCTAGTCAAATTGATTTTTTATTTGCCTCTTCTGTTACCAGTATTCTATCTTATATAACTATATAATGCATAATATGATTCCTTTATATTTAAAAAGGAAACTGTCGGCCTGCGGAGAGCTTTGGACAGCTTGCGTTCCACGTCCGATCATTTAAAAAGAAGTAATGAAAGTTTACTAAGACAATTACGGGGATCACATGTTGATGTAGAGGAACTCCGAGCTTCTGTTGAGGAAACTAAAGAACGACTGAAATGCAGTGAACACCAATTACTTTTATGTGATGCTGAAATCAAACGAAGGTAGAGTGATACATTTTAAATAATTTGCATTTAATCAGATAGAATAAAAATAATTAGTTTTATGCAAAACATAAATGAACTAGTTAGTAATGGTATTTTGCCTTGAGGCAAGTTACATGAACTTCCCGATATGTGTAAATAATCGACTTAATCAATAAAAAATAAATTAATTTATGAGTGATTAAAGTATGAAAACGAATGAACACGTTAACTCGGAATATTTTCTAAGATCAAATTTTCAAAAATCAACAATTTTTATAATTGAACCAGTTTCCGTAGGACTTTAATGTTTAGTATGTTCATTGAGACCAAGTACTCTATCGTTAAACCAAGTAAATAGTCTAATTTTAATTTTAACAAACGTCAAAAAAACTACTTATTTTCTCAAACTTTAATGAATTTTTAAAATTAATTTACTTAAGGCCGTAATATTTCAGTAAGTTCTATAAGACCATGATATATATCGCCAAAAAAAGTTCCATAAAAATCGGCTTAACAGTTAATTACAAGAAAACTTGGTAAAGCTTGGTGGATTTTCACCTAACACTAATCAGTATCATTCCCAAGTAATATCTTTCGGTTTTTTACAGCTTTACAGTTTTTGATTTTTCAAAATCGATTCGGTAGTATGAGCTTAAATGTGGACGAAACGTTCAACACTTTTTTTTCAAATAACGAAGAAACGGCTTGGCAAATCGTCGCACGAAACTGACAAACGATAGTCCTCATCGAGATACATCAAATGGCTTTTAAATTTCTGAAATCGGATTAGGCGTTTTTGAGAAAATGTCGATTAAAAGTCTAATTTTGACAAATGCCAAAAAGAAAGAAACCAATTTTTGCAAACTTTGACGAATTTTTGAAGTTAAACCAGTTGTCGTAGGGCCGTAACATTTTAGTATGATTTAGAAGACTATGGTATCTATAGTCCAAAAAATAATGAAAATCGTCAAGAAAAAATTTTAACACTTTATTACAAGAAAACAGCCCGGTCGATCTTTACCAAAAACTAATCAGCACGATTCTCAACGAATATCTTTCGAACGGTTTTTGAATTTTCATAATTGATCAGAATTGCGGGCTAAAACGTGGACGAAAATTTTTTCACTTTTCTGCGATTTACAAAGAAACGGCTTGGCTGATCGTCGCGCAAAACTCTAGTCCTCATCGAGATACATCGAATGGTTATTAAATTTTTGAAATCGGTCCAGCCATTTTTGAGAAAACGTCGATTTACGGCAAAAAATCTGTTCACTTACACATACACACACATACTTTTACCAAATTTGGTCTCATTCGATTCAGAATGGCTTGAAACGTCGAGAAAACATAAAATTAGCGAATCGGATTTTTCAATGAAAACATAAACTTCTCCTTCGGGAAGTTAGTAAAGAAAATGTATGTAAAATATTACGAAACTTTAATATCTGAAAATTTCATGAAATTATTTTACGATTCTAAACTAGGAGCATTTTTGGATGATTTTAAACAATCATAAAATGTTTAAAGATTTTGAAAATCCTGCATTTTCTAAATTTAAAAAGTTCAAAAAAATATATATGTTCTGTTTTTTTTTCTTTCTAAAATTATAATTTTAGACTTCTTTCAAAGCTTGTTTTTTCATATTTATTTTGTTCAGGATTTTTCTTTACAAGTACTAAAAATAATAAAAATGTGAAAATATTAATATAATAAAAATCGACGAAAATGGAACAAATGATTATTGGATTAAGCGATGATCGATTATTGGTTTAATTTGTTACTAATGTAGTTATTAACAATTGCAAATATTTTTTAAAATTACGATGGTTGTTGTGAAATACTTCCACAAGAAATTATAATGAATAAAAAGGAAATAAAAATTAATTATGAGGTTTTGGAAAAATTAAATTAAAAGCAATTGTTTAACAAATACATATAATAAACGGAAAGGGTACAACAAAATATTGAAGTTTTATATATATATATATATATATATATATATAAATATATATATATTATTTAATTCTAGAAACATTATCCACTTGTAAATTTTGTTAGTTTCATACTGCTACATTAAGTGATGTACGCTTAAAACGACTTTAACTCTGCCAATGTAGGAAACTATATTATATATACGTTTGATACAAAGAAAATTCAAAAATATTGTATTGAACACTTTCTATAAAAAAATTAAATTTGTAAATATTATAAGGTAATAATGATATCTTACACATATATAAATATTGACAAGTGGTAATTAATGTTGTAATAAATTTATATTTGAAATTTTGGAAATTTCGCCGTTCATATATTCGCATAAATTATGTTTTTAAAGTATTCTAAAGTTTGAAATAAATTTATGTAGTATTGTTTTCACTATTAGAAACATCATGAATTATATCGAATGAACTAGTTTTAAAATTGGGTTCAAAGTATAAGAATTAAGTAATTCATTGCATAAATAGATAGGAAAAAATATCATTAGATGTAAAGAAGATAAATTTACAATACCAAATATTACTCGAATTAGTTTTTAAATGAGTATTGATTATTATTTATTTAAACACATTTATTTGATAGAAATATTAATCACATATCATTTGAGTAAATTATTACACCTACTTCAATTACAAATATCTAAACAAAATTTAATATTTTTATATTTATAGAGATGCGTCGCGACATGAAATATTAAAACAAAATACTCAGTATGTAGAACTTCAAAGAAAATGTGAAGAATTAGAGGTAAGACTTGTTTTTAGTCATATTTTTAATTACTACATTTATAATTATTTAACAATAATACTACAAATATATTGTTTTATTGTTAAAATAGTACAAACTAATAATATAATTATTAAAATTTATGATTAGGAGAAATACGGACAAAATGATATATGTGGACAGAATGACTCAGTAGCCTTATTTAAAAATTGGCATGATTTATTATCATTTTTGCGACTATGTAGCATGAAAAAAGCCAATTCTGTGAGATGTTGAGCTTCATTGTCGCAGTAATCACTTCAAACGTGTCTCGCGCGTCATATTTTGTTGGGACTTATTCATCATTATTTGTAATCATTTCTGTTAATATTAATGAACTTACGCCAGTACTAGTGATTTCTATCAATTTTATTGAATTATATGGCGTTTGACGGACGAACTTTCGGACGAAATTACATTCCTATACAATGAACAAAATGACATAGTACGACTATTTGGCAAACACTACAGGGTAGTTTGTTCGAGGTCAAGCAAAAGAAAATTGAAACCTTTCAAAGGTGATTGGCTTTTAACTTTTGCTTTAATCACTTCTAAAAACAAAATAAAACTAGTTGTGTATGGCATCGTGCCTTGAGGCTGGAACTTCCCGTACCGTAATGAAATATATTCAAGAAATATTAAATGTTTTCATATAGATTATTATAAATTGTCTAATATTTATAAGAGAGTTATATAAACTGAATTACAGAGTTAAAATTATTAACTTCCCGTAGGGTAAGTTATTGTAATCATCCAAAAATCGAAATCGAAAATTTTTGCATTTCTCGACCTTTTGAGGGTTTCTGAACATTTTGGCATACTTAAAAAAAATGGATGTGTGTGTGTATGTATGTATGGATACAATTTTTCGTCCACGTTTTCAGGCGCATGGATCAACTGATTTGAATAGTTAAAAAAACATTCGATTTCCATCGATAGGGAGATGTGCCGATTAGTTTTTGGCAAAGGCAGGTCCAGCAGTTACGGAGATAAAGAGCAAAGAGTGCAGAAAATAGAAATCGAGTTTTTGAGAGAACGGAGCATCCGATTTGAATGATCTAAAAAACATTCATTCAGTAATGATTGGGAGAAGTAGTTATTAGTTTTTGGCAAAGGCAGGCCCAGGCATTTCAAAGATACAGAGCTAAATATGCAAAAAATGGCAGTTTTTAAGGGAACTAAGCGTCCGATTTAAATAATTTAAAGAACTTTCTGCTTGTTTTAACAAAATAATTGATTTTGGGGAAAAAAAATTGTCTCATAATTTTTTTTTTCAAAAAATTTTTTTTTTTGTATATCGAAAATAATTCAGATTTTTATCTTAATTCTATTCTAATATACTTTAAAGAAATAATTTCAACTTTTCAATTCAGTTTATATAATTCTTATAAATATTAGACAATGTTACAATATTTATAATAAACTATTTTAAAACATTTAATATTCCTCGATTATTTCCTTACTGTACGGGAAGTTCCAGCAATTTGCCTTTATTTAAAGTATATTGTGAGCTTTAAAACTTTAGCCAAAAATCTGAATTATTTTTGATATACAAAAAAATATATATGAGAAAAAAAAATTTGAAATATTTTTTTTTCCAAAAGCAATTATTTTGTCAAAACAAGCAAAAAGTTTTTTGAATAATTCAAATCAGATGCTTAGTTCTCTAAAAATTGTTATTTTCTAAAAATGTGCTATATTTTGCACTGGTATCTCCGAAACGGCTGGAACTGCATTTGCCAAAAAACTAATCAGCACATCTCCCTATCAATAGGTATCGAATGTATTTTGAACTATTCAAATCGGTTGATCCGTGCGCCTGAAAACGTAGACAAAAAATTGTATCTATACATACATACACACACACATGCACACGCACATTCATTTTTTCTGAGGTATGCCAAATGTTCAGAAACCTTTAAAACGTGAGGAAATGTAACCTACGGGAAGTTTAAAACTTACAATTTAATGCAAAACCATCTTCTCCTGCTCCGAGCTCGGAAAAAGTTAGATACATTGTATGATTTTTCCTCTTTGAATTCAGACTTTACGTACTGATATTCCATAAAGGAATAAAATAATTAATTTAAGACTTGTTTTTTTTAATGAGTATCTCAATATGTGTTTACTTCACATGTCATTATGTATGTATACAAAAACGTTTTTATAATAGATTGCTTTCTTTTATAATAAATATGTTATATTAATTCCTATTTAATTGAAAGTTAATGAAATAAGGATGAATTAAATGCCTTAGGGTTCATAATATGATTAAATAAATTAATAATAAAAAAAATCCAAAAACTATATGTCATATTGTCTCTACTTTTTCTACAACTATGCTATTTATTTGTATCAAAAGGCAATACAAAACTTTCACTTTTATTCTCAGATTAGAAAGATTAAGACACGATTCGTGACAATAAATTAGAAAATAGTATACAAAATTTAAAAAATATACTTCTATAGGCAGCTTTGCAGCAAGCAGGACAAGCTGATGATGAACGTTGTAGACAAATGGAGCAAGAAATTATAAGATTGAAAACTACAGCAAGCGAAAACCAAAAATTATTCGAACGCGAAAGGAAAGAGTCCAACGAAATTCTTCAAGATTTAAACGCATCAATTGTAACTCACAAAGAAAAGTATGGCTCTTAATATAATATGTTAATTAAAACTTTACTTAAATGCATATATTATATTTGTAGAATAAAAGAATTAAGCGGAATAGTGATAAAGCAAGATGCGTTGATACAAGAACAATTGCAAGCTATTGAATCACAGGTAAAAGCTTAATGTAAAAGTATTTACTTTATTCATTATGATAAGCCGATTTAATAAACAAGTGTATTTATTATGGTGAATGTCCTCCTGGTATGAAATTCGTTTTGTATTAAAAGTACATTCCAAGTCATTTTAGTAATATAAAAGTAATTACAATAGTAATGATAACTATTCAAATATCTTTTTTTATTATATGTGAATTAGATTACCACTCATTATAACCTAAATTTTGTACATTACTTTCTTTAACTCTCATAATTTGATACTTCAATAACTAAGAATTATAAAATCAGCGATACTAGAATTTATTGTAAAATATTATTTTAATTTGTCTATTAATGTTGAAAAAATAACTAATTTAGAGAAAGCAAAATTAAAAATTATCGTTGAATATATTATTTCTAATACAAATCTGAACTGTCCGAAATATTTTGCACTTCCTCATTTTGTTTGATTAATAAACTCAATTTTTTTATTTTTTCGTGATCAAAGTAGACAATATAAAACATCCGTGTTTGTTGTAAAACGTCACTCATTGAATACATTTTTAGATTTTCAGAAAAATAAATACTGTTAATGTGTAAGACTGATGGTTTTAAAATGATGAGAGCGGTATACATTCTATGAATAAACTCTATAATATTTGTAGTCCGCCAAGAAGGTTGTTTTCGGGTAGGCTTGCGGTTTTTGGGAATTTGTTTACGTTTTCTGAACGCAACAGGGTCGCTTATTATAAAAATTATATTTTTTATAAACATCAAATTCACTCGATCTGTTAGTATACATTTTTAGTATACACTAGATGTACCCGTTCACGCTTTGCCGTGTTTTAATTTAAATTAAAAAGTTGAACAAAAATGTATATTTGTTACATTTGGTCTACCAGTTTTCTTGTATTCTAATCTACCTGTCTAAATTGCTTTCTGTTTTCTTCTCTACCTGTCCATCAGTTTACCTGTCAATCTGTTTGCCAGTCAACCAATTTACCAGTCCACCAATTTACCTGTCCACCAATTTACCTGCCCACTAATTTACCTGTACACAAGTATACCTGTCATCCTGTTTATCAGTCTATCAATTTAGCTAACCACCAATTTACCTGTTCAACAATTTATCTATTCAATAATTTGTCTACCTATTTACCTATCAACTTGTTTATCAATCTATCATTTTACCGACCTAAAAATTTACCTGTCAACCAATTTACATTTTAACCCGTTTGTCTGTCTTGTTATATGCCTATCTATCAGTTGTCCTAGCTAGCATTTTACATTTTTTCTAATTTACCTTTCCAACAATTTACCTGTCTACAAATTCACTTTTCAATTAATTTACATATCAACCTGTTTTCAATACGCCATTTTACCTGTCAACCAATTTACCTGTCATCTCGTTTTATATGTCTACCAATTATTGTTCAAGAATTTACCTGTTTAACGATTTACTTGTTTAACAATTTGTTTACCAATTTACATTTCAACCTGTTTATCAATTTTCCATTTCACCGGCCTTACAATTAATCTGTCAACCAGTTTTACATGTCTGCCAATTTACCTGTGAACCTGTTTATCTGTTTCGTTATTTATCTATCTACCAGTTGTCTTGCCTACCATTTTATAAATCCTTTAATTAACTTGGCCATCGCCTTACCTACCTACAAATTTACCTGTTTACCTGTTTACCTGTATACCTGTTCATCTGTCAATATTTTTATTTATCCTATTGTTTATCTGTTTACCTTCTTGTCAGTTTACCTGTCCACCAGTTCAATTGTCCACCAGTTTACCTGTCCACCAATACACCAGTCAATCAGTTTATCAGTTTACCAATTTAACTGTCCAACTATTTACCTGTTTATCAATTTACCTGCCATCTCGTTTTATATGTCTACCAATTAACCTGTTTACCAATTTATATATCATTTCGTTCTACATGTCTACCAATTAATCTGTCAAACTGTTTATCTGTCTACATATTTGTCTATCTACCAGTTGTTCTCTCGAGCATTTTACATATCAGTCCACCAGTTTAACTATCTACCAATATACCTGTCTACCAGATCATCTATCTCCTTATCGATCTATCTACCTATTTATCTGTTTTCTTGTTTACCTGTTTATCTGTTTACCTGTCTGCCAGGTTACCTGCCCAACAAATTATCTGTACACCATACCTCTACCAATTTACTTGTTCAACAATTTACCTGTATACCTATTTACCTACCTACCAATTTACTATTGGTACTTACCTGTTTATCAATCTACCATTTTACCTATCTACCTATTGTTTTAAGGAAAAACAAATAAAGGAAATTCAACATACATCTGAAAATGCTAAAAAGAGAGCGGAGTACTTAGAAGAAAAACTTTCAGAAGCAGAAGAGGAATTTAAAGAGGCTTTAGTTCCTTCTGAAGCAGCAACTCAGTTGAAAGAGACCAGGTAATTTTCAAATAATTATTACATTGTGAAATTAATTGTATGATGTTCATGTGGTAAATTAATATCTAATAATCGATTTATTTTTCATATTAAATTGATTGAGCAGGATCGTTTGAAATAGGGAATATGAAAATGAATAACGATCTCTGAATGTTAGTAAATTTTTTCTGAGTTTCAAACATATATTGAAAATTGCATTGATACCCTATATTTTTCCTTTTAACCCGTCATAATAAACTATTTGTATTTTATCTAAAAGCAAATCATTCAGACATATTGATTCATAAATGAATATTAAAAATTTGACTTTTATTCTCATGACTTTTGTAAATTATCAACTTGGCAAATCAGCATTTGAGATTTATAATTAAATATTAATATATTGATCAAATATTATTGCTTCTTAAGTAATAGTTGCATTTTTTTAATTCGACGATTTAGATTATTTGCAGTATACGCCACGTAATGTAGTTCTATTTTTTCGAAATATAGAGCGAACTTAATAACTTTTAATAAGTAAATAGCTAATCAAGATATATTTTTGGTAAAAACAATCTGGCGCCAAAATAATTCTGAAAATTGCGATCCGACGTTGACGGATATCAATGTATTAAAATAGAAAATTAACTAGTTGTAAGTAGCATTTTGGTTTAATTCCAGTTACGACATGTGTAAATTATCGACTTAATCAACAAGAATTAGACATAGCTATTTAGATAAAATGTTCAGCTGTTTATTTTGAAAATCAAACTTTTGCTTTCATTTAAAATGATTTTCAATTGATATAAACAATTAAATTAATATTTTAACAAATTTCATTTCATACTTTTCGTGTTCTAAACGTGGGTTGTATTTTAGTGTGGACGTAACCTGTAATCAGTAGCTACCAAAGAATGAAGCACGCGGCGAAGTTCTAAAGTTTGATTCATTATTATAATGACGGCTTATCGTAGACCTCTTATCCTTTAGTATGTTATTTTAAACTACAAAATGTATCACTACACAAAGCTTCATGAAAATTGTAAAAAATTCAAAACATATAAAAAATAAACGACTCGGCCGTTCCTAGCCAAAAACTCATGAACGTGATTACCTACTAATATCCTTCGAACAATTTTTGTTTTTTATAATCGATTCAAGAGTTTGGTCTAAAACTTGAACGAATACGTCGAATGGCTTTTAATTTTTTAAAACGGTCTAACCGTTTTTTATAAAAGATCGACAAACATCAAAAATTGGTCAGATACACACACAATTTTTTCAAATTTAGACTCATTCGATTTACAATGACTTAAAACGTCGAGAAAACATAACATCAGCAGATCAAAATTTTTTACCAAAACATTAACTTTACTTTCAGGAAATTAAAAAAGAAGAAAAACTTATATAGAGCGAACTGAATTTTATTAGTATATAAAACGACTGTCAAATGCGTAAAACAAACTTGACTACTAATTATCATTAAATTTTAACTGTTCCGATATATTGATAAATGCATTCTATACAACTATGTTAATAATTCCTTAATAAACTTAATATTTTTCTTCCTTGCTTATTAAAAACTAATATATCAAGCGCAATTTAAACTTAATTCTAATATTAAATTAATTTTAATTCTAACATTAAACTTAATTCTAATATTACTTGAAACAATTTTTATAATCATTTCTTGTAACAATTATTGATTATATCTACAGACAGGAATTGGAAAATACACGAGATGCTTTATTAATAAAAGATAAAATAATAGAAGATCAAGTAGGCACAATCCAGAATCTTAAAACTACTCTTAACGAAAAATCAAATGAGTTACAAAAACTTTCCATGCAAAGAGATCGTGAGAAGAGCAAATACAAGTTAGCTCTCGGAGAGCTACAGGTATGATTCAAAAAGATAATAATAAATCAGTGCTATTTATTATAATTTAGAAAATAACAATAGTTAGTTATTATTATTAATTTTAATATTAATTATATAATAGTAGTATGACATGATTCGCATTTGGTTCAGAAACTAGCACCACAAGATTCTGCTATGACTAATGTTTGTAGCTTTTCATCTGGATTAGCTCATTTAGCATATTTAGCTACTTTTTTACAATTCGTACGCATTTTTATTTGTCCATATTCAATTTACAAAATATATTCGCGTTTTTCATCTCCATTATTTTTATTTATTTAGTCAATGTAGAGGTAACTCGGTACGGTTGTGTCACTTTTTTATCAACAATAAACTTGTTAATTTACCATATAACAGAAAAATAAATTATATAGTAATTTGAACATGTGTCTGCGATGATAGTTACAAAATCAAATCACACAAGAAATGGGCGAGTGTCACAACCGTCCACACCCCAAGACGTTTGTAACAGACATGAACATAGGTTTAAAGACAGCTATAAACACGTATAACAATGATTTATTACAATTTTTATTGTTAGAAATATATAACGCAACACAACATATTCATTTATAAAAAGCTTATGAATATAGTTTGACAAATATAACAAAACATAATTTTCTAAACGATGTTAACTAAGAATTCTTGTGAAATGTTTTTTGTCTTGATTTTCCCTTTGTATTTTGCATTTTGTCTTAGTTAAGTTAGATTTTTCTTTAACTATTTAATCTTCACCGTACCCACAAAATTTGTCACAACCCAACCCACACTTTTGAAAACAAATCATTGTAATGACTGAACAAATTATCTACGTAGAAACTAATGGCTAATAATTAATTATTTGTGTTCAACTTACAGCAATACTAGTGGGGTGCATGCCATCGTGCCTAAAGGCAAATTGCTAGACCGTAATTAAAAATCTTAGTACAGAACCCCAAAAAAAATTACTTAAAATGTGTACACATTATGAACATCTCTATAAAATATCTGATAATTTGATGTGCATAAGTCCAATAAACATTTTTGACCGCCAAATGCCATTTTTTTAACTTATTTTTATTGGGAGTCTTTTTTATCTTGTCAATACAAGTAAAATATTTTACTAATGATTAAAATCGGACGCTCCGTTCTCTTAAAAACTGAGCTACTGTTTTTGGCACTTTTTGCCCCGTATCTTCGGAACGGCTAGACCTGCCTTCGCCAAAAACTAATCAGCACGTCTCCTTATCAATACAAATCGAATGTTTTTTACATTATTCAAATCGGTTAAATCGTTTTTCAGAAATCGTCGAAAATTTGTATCCGCACACACACACACAAATACACACACACACATACATTCATTTTTTCTAAGGTATGCCAAAATGTTCAGATACCTTTGAAACGTAAAGATATATAAACATTTTCATTTTCGATTTTTTTGCGATTGCTATAACTTGCCTTAGGGGAAGTTAATAACAAACCAATTGATTTATCTATATAAACGTAACAGTTTTTATTGAAAGAAATCGAAGAATAAAGCTTACTTTTGACTCTTTATAAGCAATGCGGTGTAAAGATCAATGCAATAATGGAAACTTGTTTGAGCAAACATACTTCATATTTTCCCCTTTGGACCCTATCTCAAAATCAGTATAGTTTAGCTGTTATGACGCCCGTCACTGCCGTATCATGGCACAACCGTACTCAATCTTTCCTATACTTCATTTATACGCGTACTTGTCACAGCAATCAGAACTATTATATATTCTACAAGCTGTACTGAACACTGTTTATTTCTAAGAAGATATTGTTCATAATATATAGCGGGCGCTGTAGGGCATCGAGTATGCATAATATGATGATCGCCAACTCCCTGCAGATTCTTTTACCTGAGATGCCAAACAAAAAAAAATCCATGTTGCCAGCTTCGGCGTTGTTCGAATTTCCCTGTACCTGCCTTTTCACTTTATACGCATGCCTCGATGCATCGTGGCGCTCGACGTAGTAGCCAGTATAAAGCAGTTTTTAGTGCCTAATAGTTTTTTTTATTCATAATCATATCATATAATATAATATTATTCATAGTTACTTGTATCTAAATTTTTCCTTCAGACAAATACGCTGAAAATGTCGGTACAAGTGATAAATATTCAGTAGCCCAAGCGAAGTGGAATATAGTGATTTTGCGAAAAACGAATGATATGGTCGCAAAACTAAACCCACCACATTTGTTAGAAAATATTAATTAACAAAAATTTTGGAAAAATTAAAAATATATAATGCAGACTTTACCGTACACCAAAACTTGTATGGCAACAAACTTGTATGGAAAGTTACTTGGTGGTTTAGATCTATGGCTTGACGGTTCATCTACATAGAATTTTTTTTCATGATGCTATTCAACTGCTCAATCACTAGCCAAAAACCTTTGTTATATTTTTCCAGCTTTAAACAACAAAATCAATGCTTCTATCAGTTTCAAACAATAAAAAAACAAATTTTATATCTGCATCACTGGACTTTGTTCAAATGTTCTATCACTTTTAAAAATCTAAATCTCAATGGCGACAATTAACTTTATTATAAACTATAATTGGTGGATTTCCAGCGTCCACGGTTTCTATATGGATTGGGGTAAAAAAATGTATTTGGTGCACCAGTTAAAAAAGTTTTAGTTACCTTTATTTTCAAAGACATGCGACTGCGTGTGTTTTTGGATAGTGTCTGGTTTTGGTTGACCACAAAAACTAATTCTTTGAAAATAATGGTTCGGCTGTTACAGTGACATCGTCTCGTTAGTTTCACATGTTACAGACCTTCGTGCAACTTAAATTGAAGCAACCCAATGGTGAGATATAATTTTATCAAGCCAGGACACTTTGCACAGATCACGTCAAATCAAATGTTTTCCGGACACATTATTTTACAACTTAGTGACAAAAAATGACAAGCGCTTACGCACGATCTGACATCTTGTGAATTTTTTTTACTGGTCATCTTGGAAATTACATTTATACCAACTGTCCTCAAAACATCTATGCCTCAAAAGAAGCAATCAGAGCGGAAATTCCAAAAAAAACATCTGAAATGACAACACAATACATGAAAAGTTTCAGAGAATACCTAACCCTCTGTATCGAAAACAAGCGACATAATTTGCAAAAAATATTTTTTTACAAATTAATTTTCATATATATTATGAAGATTTAGAAATACACAAACTTTTATCGTCATTTAATATTTTCCGCAGAACCATGTATTTCCACTTATACCTTCAAAACTTATCTGTTGATAAGCTACGGCATATTTCATCTTTTCTTCTATATACTTTGTTTTTTAAACAAAGGTGGTTTTAATTTTTTGAACAAATTATCCCTTTTTCGCAAAATCACTATTAGTGCAGTAAACGGAGAGGAAAAAAGGGTATAACCTCTGACTTTTTTTACTGTGCTCCGAATTGAATGAAATTTTGGAATTAAGTTCATCTTATCCTCAAGTTCAAAAGTGAAAACAATTCGGGTTGCGCCATCACCCCCCGGGGGAATAACACCCCTTCTCAATTGTGTAATTACATTTTTTCAAAATAACGTCGGAAGTAGTTTTTTGCGTGTAAAATGAATGAGCTATCATGCAAATAACAAGCATATACGATGTTTTTTTCTTTTAAATGATATGGTTTAATGAGCGCCATTTCTACCAGAATTAAAGTAATTCACATTCCATCTAGAATTCACTTCATTATAGACATCTTGATGGTTTCTAGCAGATTCACTACTTTAGTACAAACTAGTTTCAGAAAACTCACGATTTTATAAAAACTTTTTTTTATAATATATGACGTCCATATTATATGAAGTAAATATGAATAAAAACGAAACGTACGGGGAAATTCGACCAACACCGAAGCTGGCAACATGGGTTTTCTTTTTGTTTGGCCTCTCAGATAAAAAATCTGCAGAGTTGACGGTCTTCATATTATGCATACTCGATGCCCTACAGCGCCTGGACTAGTAGGTAATGTATTGATTGTCTTTACTCTATGTGAGATATAGTTTTTTTAATTTTTCATACTGAACGCTATTAGAGATAATCGTCGCTCTGATTCGGATATTGGAGCAATGCCGGATTAAGAGCTATTTTTACTTGGAAACATATTGTTATCTATATTTCCAAGTGAAAATCGCTGCTTGACCCCAGGCTGCTCGAAGTGGGTCGAATCGAACCCGGAGTTCTGAATCAAGACCCGTCGCTCTTATAATCGCTTACCTACGGGCGAGCCCAAATCTCCTATATGGTTTGATTTTATGGAAAAGTTTTTTACTAATAATTTGAAATTATTATACAGACTCGCAAACCAGTAAGCGGTAATCTTATCCAACAACGACAGAAAATGGGCTGGCAGGAGGACGAACAGCGTGCTGCTTGTAAACAACTACTTCTCATGCGACGAGAAAAAGACCATGCCGTATTCACAGCACACTATGTAACAAAACAGCTAATACAAACAGTATCTGAATTCGAAAATGTAAGATATCATTATATACATTTTTATATGACTCAATACATTAAAATTTTTGTTGGTATAATTACTAACTAATGCTAATTGATTAATTTCTAATTCTAATTTTAGTGCTAAAAATATTTTCTATTTAAATGATTTTACTTGATACAACATTACAAAAAAACAATAAATAACTAGTGGTGTATGGCATCGTGCCTTAAAATTTGCCTTCTGGAACTTCCCGTACCGTAATGAAATTTTCGGAGAATATTAAATCTTTTCAAATTGAATTCAAATTATTATGAATACTATAACCATAGATAAGATTTTAACTTGCATTATTCGTATTTTATAGACAAAATACAAGAGCTTATAAATTGGGTGATGATGTTTATATACGTTTACATAAAAAATAAATAAACAGAACTTAATAAAGAGGAATTAGAATAAAGGATCTTGTCTCATATTTCTAAGAAGGAAAAAAAATGTATCCATACATACGCAAAGTTATCATTATTTATTTTAAGTTTATAAGTGAGCTTTAAAATTACAGTTATAATTAAAATTAGAACCCGAATTATTTTCAATATTCAAAAAAAAAAAAATGAAATAGTTTTTTTTTATTTCTTAAAAAATAATTGATTCGTCAATACAAGCAAAAGGCTTTTTGAATCATTCGAATCAAATACTTCGTTCTCACAAAAACTGCAATTTTTTGTACACTTAGCCCCGTATCTACGTAACGGCTGGACCTATCTTTGCCAAAAACTAATCACTACTTCTCCCCATCATTACGAATTGAATGTTTTCTGAATAATTCGAATCGAATGCTCCTTGTTTTCAAAAACTCGATTTCTTTTTTCTGCCCTCTTTGCTTTGTATCTCCAAAATGACTGGATTTGTCTTTGCCAAAAACTAATTAGCACGTCTCCCCATCAGTATAAAGATCGAATGTTTTATGAATTATTCGAATCGGTTTATCTTGGCGCCCGGAATCGTGAACAAAAAATTGTATCCATATTATTCTATACACACACATCCATTTTTCTAAGGTATTCCAAAATGTTCAAAACCTTCGAAACGTAAACATATGCAAAAAAAAATAATTTAGATTTTTGGACGATTACTATAACTGACCATAAGAAAAGTTAAAAATTGCGCTTAAATGTCATAAACCAGGGAGTACACGGTGCAAGTAGTGTTAGAGCGAAATATCGAATACTGAGTAAATATCGAAACTTTGCTGTCGACAGTGAGTATTTTTACTATCGATATTTTAGTTCGATATATTTGTCAAAATCGATTTTTGTGCCAAATGCAATACAACAGTTTCTCAGGTGATCATACTGTTCAAAGAAGTGTCAAAAAACGATCTCAAAGGATCATCAGTCTCAAAATTTATTGCTAAAAACCCAAAATGAATAGGACCACACTATTAAATAAAGATGTTTATTTATTACTCTTATGTAAAATGAAACAGCTTTTTAAAGTTCCTAAATATTTTGTAAAAATATTCTCAACAATTACAATACATGAGTATTTTAAGTAAAAGAATAAAAAAATAATTATTTCGGATAATAATACTCAACAATTTTAATACATGAGTATTAATTTAGTGAAAAAAATCGAAATATAATTATTTTAAATAATAGTTTTTAACAATTTCAATACATGAATAATTTACGTGAAAAAGAATCGAAATTAATTATTTCTAATAAAAGTACTCAACAATTTCGGTATTTTAGTATTTTATGTGAAAAAAAATCGAAATATAATTATTGAGTAAGTATTGAGAAATTGTTGAGTATTATTATTAGAAATAATTATATTTCGATTCTTGTTAGAAATAATAATATTTCTTTTTCACATAAAATACTAATATACTGAAATTGTTAAGTATTTTTTTAGAAATAATTTAATTTCGATTTTTTTTACTAAAATACTCATGTATTGAAGTTGTTGAGTATTATTATTCGAAACAATTATTTTCTATCTTTTTAACGTAAAATACTCATGTATTGAAATATTTGAATATCAATATGCAAACATATGGGTTTGAGTTTCTCGGAACCATTTAAACTTTAAATCCCATCGCTCCGAAGGAATGTTTCTCTAAATTGTTCTATTGTACAAGTGTGCAAATATTATCTCGACCGTCAAGGGGCACAACTAGTGTAACCGCCTAAAAAGGTGATTTTTGGGAATTTATATTAAAAAAACTACTTTATCAATCATTTAAAAATTTTAGAAATATATTTATACATGTTTTGAGAATACATAGTATAAATATTTTTTAAGTTATCGTCGATCTCCAACGGCGCGACAAAAAAGGCCCCTAACTGCTGCAGTGATTCCGGTCTTCTACGTGGATAAAATTAAAAAAAAAAATCGCGTTAAACTAGATAATATTGTCTGTAAAATGAACTACGATAAAGAAAAATTGACAAAATGGCAGCGTTTCTTAAAAAAAAGTAAAAAAAAGAATTTTACCCAAAATTTTGGTCGTTTTTGGACTGCCAATATTCGATTTTTGATTCGATCAAAAAATCGATAGTTTATTTTACGGAGAACTATATATAGAACATGTAAAAGAAATTGATAGTGATCGGATCATTTGTTTTTGAGTAATCGTTGCAGCAAATTCGGAAAATGCTGTTTCGAGAAAAAACGCGTTTAAAGATTAAATGATCGTTATACTACTATATACTATATACAGTAGCGGCGCTAGGCGTCGGCGGTGTCGGCGGCCGCCGACGGCCTCGCGCCTGGGGGGGCCTCGCAAGAGGCCCCGGAAAAATTTTAATTATTTAAAATTTAGTTAATTTTCATACGGATGTGCGAGTAAAGAAGGTGATTAGTGGTTTACAGGCACTATCATTTTACTCTTTTATCTTTTATGGACATTATCTAACATCGTCTGTCAACACTATAGATTATTAAATCTAAATAACTTCGCGCAAGCTAATTCTCTGGTTATTTATATTTGTGTATTTCTTATGTGAGCACTATGTAAATCATCGTTCTTTTTAGAAATACATACGAGTGGGAATCTTAACGTATCGAAACAGTAATTAAATATTCGAGGAATAAAAGTAATCAATGATCAATAAAAATTGATCAATGAGAAATAACAATGAGATAATAACAAAAACTGTTAATTTGAAACTAATCATTGTTTCACACCGTCAACACAAGCAATATATTTTTTTAAAGATTCTATCGGGATGATCAGTTCTTTCAAATAAAATTGATAACCTTTTAAACTTTTTTTGTATCTCCGAAACCGCTAAATCTGCCTTTGACAATTTATCAACACGAATCGAATGTTTTTTTAAATCCTTTAAATCGGTTGATCCGCTCTGATGTCGTCGACAAAAAATTAAAGCGTCTTAAAAAAACGACATTTTGACATTTTTGAACCAATTTTAAAAATTCAAAAACTGATCGAAAGTTTTCAGTTGGCGATCGTGCTGAATTGTTTTTTCGTCAAGATCGACCGCACAGTTTCTTCGTAATTTATTGTAAAAATATTTTTTCAAAAAAAACTTGTTAGTATCATCCAACATAAATTCTATGGAACTACGATAAATGATTAATTATAAAAAGTCATTAAATTTTAGAATAATGGGACGAGCTTTTAGACCATGTCTACCTACTATGTGATGTTCGGATTTGTGCACTCAAATTAGTATGAACATAGATTTTTTAAATCTAATTAATCACTTGCAGATTGCAAAACTTTATCTAATTAGTTATTAAGTCGGTGATTTTCAACCATTTTTTTATCATAATGATCGAAAAAACATAAAATTTGCTAATCAAATGTTGGGCAAAAAGAAACTTTTTCGCGATAATGATTTAATTTTAGTGCTTTTCTAATAGCTGGAGAACAAACCATTTTTGCCGAAGAGTTTGTTTATTTTGACTTGTGTAATTTTTGTCTATTTCAATTGGTGTATTTATCTGATTAAAAAAATCTCATATACAGTTATAGCAATCACAAAAAAATCTAAAACAAAAATTTTTATATATCTTCAAAGATTTCTGAACATTTTGGCAAATTTTCGTCGACGATTTCGCGAACATGGATCAACCAATTTGAAAAATTCAGAAAACATTTGACATGTATTGAAGGTAAGAAGACGTGCTGATTAGGTTTTAACAAAGGCAGGATAAGCCGTTTTGAAGATACGGGACAAAAAGTGCCAAACTGATTACATTTTTTAGGAAGGCAGGTCTAGCGGTTTTGGAAATCCAGTAAAAAAGCACAACAAAAGCCATTTGGCATATGCACATCAAATTATCAGATATTTTATAAAGATTTTAATTAATAGTGAGTTAAGTTAGACTGCAACGTGGGGTTTACGCGCTTCGACATTTCGTCTCTAAGCAGCTAACGCAACGTGATTGCTTTGAAAAAAAGTTCGAATTTTCAACAAAATATTTCAAATTAAATAATGTCAATTTCTTTCTCTTTTCAAATTTTTCAAAGCTTTTCAAAAATTTAAATTACGGCACGAAAAGTTTCAGCAATTTGCCTTTAGGCACGATGCCATGTACCACTAGTCAACTTGCAACTAGCAAAAAAGGGGGGCCTCGCAAACGAATTTCGCCGACGCCCACGAATGGTCTAGCGCCGCCACTGACTATATATACTTTTTAAATGGCTGTAACTCAAAAACTATTCAAGATATCGATTTAAAATTTAGTATGTTATTTTTTAAAGGTATAACCTATCAAAATATGGAAAAATTTAAAATTCAATGTTTAGAAAATTTCACACTAGTTGTGCCCCTTAAACTGAATATTTATTGCTTTCCAAAGGGCTTAATATTGCACTTTTATGTAAACATGTAATGGCGTTTTCAAGTTGCATGGTCGCTAAAATTATTCATTATTTTACTTAAAAAGTATTGCATTTTGAATGTAGTATCAGACCATAATATTGTTTTAACCAAAAATACTCAACTATTATAATTTGGTCTTTTTTTTAAAAAAGTATAGAATTTGAAATTAGTATTGAAAAATTACTGTTAACATTTTACAATATTGAAAATGATTCTGATTTATCACATCAGATACAACAATAGAATTCATTATAATAGATATTTATTGAGTTTTTGGTCTTTTTTGCACATACGTTTGATTTTGATGAAATGTACTCAAAATTTGATATTGAGTACTATCGATACTTTCGCCACGATATTTGTTTGGGATCGATATTTTGCTTTGATATATTTTTCAGTACTCACTATCGACATTTTTCCTCGATACTTCTAACACTAGTTGTAAGTGGTAAGTGCCACGGTTTTGTAACCGCAAGGATCCCGGTGAAAACCTGACGCAACGTACGATCTGATATCGAACTGTAATGATATTCATTTTTACTGAAAAATGAAGACTCTTTAATATATTACGCAAGTAAAAACCGAAATTTGAGGCATTGCAGCATTGTATCACATCACTGTTACATACACACATACATCCATTTTCTCTAATGTATTCCAAAATGTCCAGAAACTTCTGAAACGTAAAGATATATAAAAATTATCATTTTCGATTTTTTGCGATTACTTAACTTAACCTACGGGAAAAAATCTCATTTCAATTACCTAAAGAGTTTTGGTAAATAAATATATCTACAAAATTATATTTGTCTTTATTTCTTGCATATTGCTGAGTTTAATATTTGACTTCTTACATAATGCACCTTACGCATATAAAATTTTTATGATAATTATTATCAAAACGCTTAATTTATTAATATTATACAATTTTTGTTTGCAGCAAGTTGCAACACAGAAAAAAGTGCACCGCATGCTAATTTCTGTTTTAGGAGAAAAAGAAAAAAATGCTGAATAAAATAACTAATTCTGTAAGAATATATATATATTTTATTTAGTAATAACGATAGATACAGTGTTTTATTATATTCATATGTTTTAAGAACTTTAAAATCTGTAGATTTTACAAAGTAATTTTTTTGATATAGAATGCGGAGCTGTTATCACGACAACTTGATTTGCGTAATCAAGCAGAAGAAAACATAGACAAGAAATTATGACAAAGGTAAAAATATAATTTTGGATTCGATAAATTGATTCAGTAAATAATGATATTTTGATAGGCTCTATCAGCAAGAGATACATGTGTTGCAGTTCTGAACAAACTGCCTTCTGGTGGACTTAATCTTGAGTGAGTAAAAATTATTTTTCATCATTTAGTAAATAATTATATTTTAGTTTTTTGCTGTTGAACACGAATCTAAACTTAAAAACCATAAAATCTCCGAATTGAGTAATTCTTCTGCATGATAATTAAAATTTTATAATTTCTGTCATTTCCTGGCCATTTTTACCATAAATGACTTTTAGTATTCACTTAATGATCTTTTTTTTTAAGGTGTTTTTTTGTGGATTACAGCAGTA